AGTATGGATTTTGCAAGGTTATGGCATTATCAGTACAGTCACTGATTGGCTCAGATCACCTCCCCCAAGAAAGCCCATCTTTTATTTTTAAAGGAAATGTGGGGGAGCCACAGCGAATCCCCCCAAAGCGGTGCACAAGGAAGGCTGTTTATAGACGTTTTCATCATCTTGAAAGCTTCCATATCATTAAAAGGGGGGAGGGATCAGCAGGACCCCTCACTTCACAGCTACGACCCCACAACCCCCAGCCAGCTGGGGATGGTGGGGGCTGTAGTGCCTCAACTCGGCAGGGCCCTCCAAGTTGGGAAGGCTCTTCTAGTCCTAACAGCTTGTGACAGCTATATTTGAAATCTTTTTCTCACTCCCTCTCTTTCAGAGGGTTTTTTTTTTTAGCTTGTCATGTTCTTTGTCCCAGAAGGTTCTTTATTAGCAGCGATTTGAAGAGAGCATCTAATCTTTCAGTGAGTCAAAAGGAACAATTGTGCGCATTTTCATAATCACCATGAAATGCCATGCATACACATGTATAAAAATATATAATAACAGCAATTAGTAGTTAGAATTCTTCCTGTTTCTGATCTCATTGTTTGTTTTTCTTCTAAGGGAACAAGTGCTTATTATTCTAGGGAATATTTTTCTGTTCCAGGTCAAATTCTTTGTCCTTTTGCGACTCCTTTATGCTCAACTGGCACTACGAATGAAATTCATCAGTGTGTTTAAATTTAGGATCGCGCTTGGTAGCCTTTACTAAAAATACCCCGATTTGCAAGGAGACAGATTGCTAACTTGACGATTTGAGGGTGAAGCATGGGGCATGGCGTGTAACGGTGGCGCACTCATTGGCGCATGATGTGGTGCCTTACGTGGGGACGTGTGGTAACAAGGTGCATTTTCTTTCCTGTATATATTCATACTTCCCCACTCCCAGTGCTTGCAGGCTGCTAAAAAAGCAAACCGACATAACAATTCAGGAGATGAAGGTAGCTGCTGTCTTGCAAGCTTTAATTTCTTTGCATCCTCACATGGTTCACACCGACACTTTGCCGGAGAAGGACAGTTTCGCAGAATCTGATCCAAATGTGGAAAGTCATGTGAGGCTGGCTATGCAGGTCACTAGTACAAATAACTGTGAACCTCTAACCTCTCTTCTGCGTTTCCTGCAGCCTTTTGGGTCAGAACTACTGGCGAAACACTAATAGGAAGTTTATCCCCAGCTCGGGAAAATGCAGTCGCTATGCCCTTGTTGCATCCGGCATTCTGTGCATTGTGCCAGAAAGCTGAACTCCACCGTTCTGTTTGCTGCTGCATTTTATCCAGCTTTGAATAAATGCAGCCAGGAAGACCGGAAGTGCATCCCACTCAAACCTGGGCATCTGGCACCAAGTACAACTGCCCCAAGCACATCCAGGGCAACTCTTGAACCAGACGTAGCTTTGAAGAGGGCTCTGCTGCCCTCGTACCAGGAATCAAAGCCCATCCAGAACTTTAAGGGAGCTGTCCATGGTCCTGAAACCCATCCCCAGCCTAGCTTCAGCACCATGGAGAGACCCTCGATGGTTCGGGGTCAAGCCAAGGTGGATACACAGCCCTGCTGAGATTGCCACTGAGGGCCAGTGTGGGACCAGACCACCCAGGGAAACCAGCGGGTTTTCCTCCAGCTTGGCCTCACTGTCTTGCCTCAAGTGCTGCCGGCCACCCGATCCCTCCCAGTTCATCTCTCTCGCCCTTGACTTGGCCTTGGCGTCCAGAGGAAAGAGGGTTGTTCAGTCTGTTTCATGGGAACACCATGTGGAGCTTGCAACCCCTTTTTCAGTGCCCGCTAGAGTCCTTGCCCCTCCGGATTTTTTGAAAAGCTTTTAGTTACAACTCTGGTTTCCTTTTGTTGTAAATGGAAGCTCGTTGAGTCAGGTGGATGACCAGGTCCCAAAAGGATGCTTAAAACTTGCCACCAAAGAGATCCCAGTTAAGAGGAAGCACCGCCGAGATGTTGCCGGTGACACTTTCCACCCTGGTGCGATTTTTTCGAAACCTTCCCCTCTCTTAATGCCTCTCAGTCTCCCTTAAAAGAGCCATTCTTAGGCGCTCGCTCTCTCTCTCTCTCTCTCTCTCTCTCTCTCTCTCTCTCTCTCTCTCTTCCTCTCCCTCCTTTTTTCTCCCTCTCAGCCCACCCGGATGTTCCCTCAACTGTATATTTTATAAATAATCTCACCATGACAGGACTTGATGAGGCTGGTTCTTTGCCGCCGTGTGTTTGTTCCTCTTGTGACAGGACGGCATTAATAACAGACTACATTCTGCGTCCTGCCATTTTTTTTAAGCACAATCATTCCGATAAAGGGCATCTACTTAATTACGGGTCTATTTAATTACAGCTCTGTGGATGCTCGTTTGCTCCACATTGCAGCAAACCAAATCGTTTTGGCATATTTTTCACTTTTCATCCATCCCCCTTTCTTCCAAACTCAGCATCTCTGCAATTTTATATTCTGTTCTTCCTCCGAGAAGCTCAGAATGGTCTGTTTCCCTCCATCATCATCATTTTTTAAATTATTATTACATTACATTTCTATACCTTCCATAGCCAAAGCTCTCTGGGCAGATCACAACATTTTAGTCTCCCATCCAGATTTCAACCAGGCCTGACCCTGCTTAGTTTCCAAGATAGGGCAAAACCAGGCACTTCAGGCTATACAGAATATATCTTACCCTCCTTGTGAATAACCCTGTGAGGTAGGGAATTCTTTGCATACAGGCACCCAGGCAGTCTTGGAGCAGACTGGTGCTTTGACTCCCAGCCCAGCTTTCTTAAATATTTCTACTTTCTTCCCGTAAGCAAGGCGGAATTCCCATCAGAACAATATGACGGAGGTGCCCCGGCCTGGAGAAGTCGTGGGCTCTCCCACACTGGAGGTATTCAGCTGCAAGGACACAAGAACATGAGCCCAGACCAAAGGTCCACTTAGTCCAACATTAGACCTGCACTGAGCGTGGGCTGGACTTCCGCAAGCCCCAGTATGTTAACCGTGCCCACACTGGGTTTTCCAGTTGTTTGGAGTGGTGGATTGCTGGGGAACGGAAGGGGGACATTTTGCCTGGCAAGACAGCTCCCCACCCTGTAAGTAATCATGGCCTTGCACCAATGTCTTTGCAATGATAGTCATAATGATCCTGTAGAGGCGGAGTTGGGGACAACTGGATAGAATGGATCTTGAAAGGAAATATTGCTGATAGCAATTGCAAGGATTGTCCAGCCCTGATTTTAATGCAGATAGTTACCAAACGTCCATCTCCTCTGCATGTGGAAAGCCGAGGGGGAACCTTAACACCTGATGATTCACTCAGGAAGCCAAATCCTGGCCACGGTTGTGTCAACTTTTTAATTTATTGGAAAGGGGATTGAACTCTGAATTCTAACCTGCTGTGCATGTTGGTTTGAAATGTTCTGCTTTGAAATTGCTTTGAAATGGCAAAGCAATCCATGTATGTCAACTCAGAAGTAATTCCCGCAGAGTTCAGTGGGACTGAATTCCAGTAAATATTGGTTTATTTCATAAATATGTGAAATAAATATTTTTATTTGCATAAATTTGTGCATATTTGCTACAGGAATGACGTTTCTGCTCTGCTTAACTCAGGCAATGTTTAAGTTGTTGATTTTGTTGTTTTACATTTATCTGTCATTTTTTTTTTCCTGGCAAAGAATCCAAGGAACTTGCAAAGTTCTCCTTTTCCCCACAACAGCAGCCCTGCAAGGTCGGTTGGGCTGAGAGTCTGTGACTGGCCCAAAGTCACCCAGCTGGCTCCATGGCTGAGCGGAGACTGGAACCCGGATCACCTGAGTCCTAGTCCCACACTCTTAACTGCTATTTTACCACTAAATAAAAATTTACACATATTCACTTAGTGACAAATAAAATATGAGAGACACACATAAACATACAGACAACAAACATAAGAATAGGAGAGACCTATATTAAAAATATTTCATTTTCTGTCTCCCTGCCCACCTTTCCAGAAGTACTAATTGAAGCTGGGTTTTTTTCCATTTCAACAAGCTAGCTACTACATCCATTCTGGCTCTTCTAGGAAAATGTGCAACAGATTTTCAGAAAACTGGACCTTTACACAACAAAACAATAACCAAAAAAAAAGTCCTCACTATTTCACAATGCCACAGCTTCTGCTCTTTTTTTTCAATCCACCGTACAGTGAACAACATATAACGGCAAATCCAGAGCTTCTCTCTGGTTCCTACAATAATGCACAGTTTTCTCTGTTTGTCTTTTCTTTTCAAATTTCCAGAAAACAAATGAATAAAATATTGATTCGGAAGGATTTTTAAAGACCATGAAACACATCACCCGTGCAGAATAAATGATGATTGCATTTATACGCTCAATAATTGTCACGCAACTGGTATCTCTGTCCTTTGATCAGCAGCTGTTTCCAACTCTGGAATTTGGTTGTGTTTAATAGCTTGCAATCAGATGCTGGCATCCAATCTTAGCTTGGCAAGGAAGAACCGATTCACCCTACAAGTCACACACCCTTTCGAATTTCAAATGTCAGCATCTCTTTTCTTCTTTGTTTAAATAATCTTTTAATTATTATTTCAAGAGCTTCCCGGGTGTATCTTGCTGGAAACCTTGCGAAGAGCAAGGAACAGTCTGTCCTTGTGGTTCGGGCACTGTTCTGTACATATTTTCTCCACAAAGGGTAAAAAACAAGCCAAATACTTTGCTTTTCCAATAAATCTGCCCTTGGAAATTGGAATGGCCTTCCTGGGGTGGCCAGTTCACAGACTATTTGGTTCTAGCCTGGTCATATTTCTCTCCTTCCCAGACAGACACCCCAATTAGCTGTCAGCAGCGGGTTTTAGAGACCCAAGAGGAGGAGAGATTTTTTGAGGTGGGCTGCCTGGCGAGAAAGCCCCTTCGGCAACTCTGGGAGGTTGTATTGAGTGCAGCTCTGTTGATGCTTCTTTTGTGTTTTTCTTCCAGCGATGGAAGGCGTGCCTTTTATGATCTCGGAGAAGTTTGCCTGCGCTTCCCAAGGGGTGAGTGTTGTGTATTTTCCTGATGGCTCCTGTTGTCATTTCTCCTCCTGTGCCGGTCTCAGCAAACCTCATCACCATGGACAGCTCCTTCAAAGTTCAGGCTAAAAGCTGCAGCAAATATACTGCTTTCTCAGCAGCGGAGCTGTTCAGTCAGATGTCTTTTGATGGCTGTTTGGCCCCCATAGAACCACCATGTACAGAGGCAGTCTACCTCTGGGTACAAGGTATAGGAAAATAGAAAGAGGGGAGTGCCAACATTTTCTGAGTTTCCTAGACCATCTCTTCTGACACTCTTGGGAACTGGGCTTGGGCGAGGGTTGTTGTTTGGGTACATACATGAATCTGTTGCTTGTTATGAACCGAAATGCAGTCTTCTGTTATCCACTTGCACAGTCCTGGTTTTCTCTGAACCAGCAGAAGGAGGGCCACATGCTGTCCCGCTGTAGTTTGCGGCGTTGTCAGGGGGCAGTGGGGGAGGTCGTTCCCATTGTTCATATTAAAAGGATGAATTTTGCAATTCCCACATGCAGAAAACCAGCATGTCAGGATGCGAGGCTTTGCCCTGGCTTTTCCCACTGCCTTGACGGCTGGCTGTTTGCCTGCAAGGGCGGTCCTCTCTTTTTGCAACACGCAGCTAAAGCGGCACCGTTCTGGCGGCTCCTGCGCTCCCTGAGAACCGGACTTGGCCCAGTTTCCAAGTGCGTTTGAATCGGAGGCAACGGGTCTGTGCGTGCCTCTCCTCGCTTCCCCACTGGCCGGGCGCTACCTGATCTTCCGCAGTGCCATCCCTATTTCTGGAAGCTGCTTAGATCTTGACAAATGCCAGCCATTCCATGCGGGGAGAGCAAAGTAACTTTAGCTGGCCCGGCTCCGCTCGTTGCTGTGGTGACGCTGGCTGCCTTCCAGCTGCCACGGAGAGGGAGGCCTCCCCGGCCCTGTTTACCAATTCCTGTCTCGGAAGTTGAGAGGTCGTTACATCCTAATGAGGCAGCAGATGGACCTCTGCTGGAGGCCAGCAGCAGAAACGCAGCCTCCAGAAAAGCCCGTCCGTCTTCACGGCTTGCCCGTCCGGCTCAGGCGTGCCGGAGAATGCCTTCTGCACAGCCGCGTTCCCCCTGGGTTGGAGCAAAAGCCAGTGGTGGCACGTGGACTCCGGGTCCCCCTGCCTTTTGGGCTCTGCAAGGAAGTGGCTTTCTGGGCTGCAAAAGATGTCCCCCTCCAAGCAGGGACTTGGAGTGCGCTCTGGACAGGCCTCCTCGTGTCCTTTCCACCACCTTCAGAGTTGGTGAAGGCAGAGCTTTCTCGGTGGTGGCACTGAGGCTCTGGACCTCTGCTCCACTGGAGGGGCCCGTGGCCCCTGCAGTGCAAGGCTATCCCATCAGGGCTTTGGCCTTGACCGATCCATGGCATGTTTAGCTGTGCTTGTGGTGTGTTGTGGCTGCAGATCCTGTCATCCCCAGACACGGATGGGCAGGGCAGTCCAAGGCACCTGGTGGGGTGGAAGCGTGCCCCAGCCTGTAGCAGGCCAGGATTGGGCAGGAAAGGTTCGACCCCACCTGGCGAGTCCAGATTGCGTCATTGGTGCTTTGAGCCACTTGGCTGCTTAGGGTGGATTGGGACCCTTGGGCTCCTCCAGTGCTCCTCAGGTGGAGAATTCGCACGGAGGGACCGTAGCTTGGTGGGAAAGCTGCACCTCTGCACAGAGAAGTCCCCGATTCGGTCCCGTGCATCTCTGATTAAAAGCAAACTTTGCCATGGTTGGGATTCTGTGCCCAACACTTTGACAGTTAGCAGCTGCCAGCCAAGGGTTAAACGAACAGGCAGCCTCTAGATCTTTGGACTACAGGCCCAGCCAACGTAGCCAGTGTCAGTGCTTCCATGTAGCCTGAAGTGCCTGATCCTGCCTAATCTTGGAAGCTAAGCAGCATCAGGCCTGGGCAGAAGTGGGATGGGTGACTTGAATGTATGAGTCTATTGCTGTCAACTGCCTAGAGAGCTTTGGCTATAGGCAGTATAAAAATGTAATAATAATAAAATAATAATAATAATTCTGCGAGTTGTAGTGCAAAACATTTTCTGGCCCCAGATTACCTATCCTTGACCTGGTGGACAGATCTCTGGACTACACTCCCTCCTTCAAACATGACTGCTCTTGACTTCTCCAGGCCTGCCTTCTCAGTCATGAGGGTTAGAAACTTGGTGTGTGGCTGGCGTTGTGATGCAGAATACGGTTCAATGCTAACAGCAGCGTGGCCTGCACAGACACACCAAGTGGGCATACTTACTTCTCCGAATGCAGCATTGCCTCACCTAATCACCTGATTAAAGGCATTGCAGTCGATTAGCAGTATTGGCTTTAATTGTTTTAAATCACCCAGCAATTTACAAATGGACAGCAGTGATTGTGCCAGTGACCGGCACACGCATTCTTTTTAGTCCAAGAAATACAGGGCAGCTGTCTCATTTGAATCAGTACCTGCCATCACATGCCACGCCTTTAAAAATATTTCCCAATCACAATAATTAACCATTTCTTAATAAACCAGGAGCACCTTTTTAATCTTTCAGAAAAGATTGGAAAAAAAGAAAAGATCGATGCAAGACATAAATTGACCTAAACTGCAGACTAGGCTGGAATGGGACCACAGGTGTTCTGTGTAGGTAAATGCATGGAGCCATTGGACAAATTCCTGGCGTAGAAGCTCTTAACATTTCCTGGTCCAAGTGGGCCTCTGCAGCCTCCAGATCAGAGGCAGTGTCTCTGTGTGTGCCCATTGCTGGGGAACATGGGTGTTATAGGTTTCCTCCAGGCAGTGGCTGTCTGCTGGCCTAGATGGAACCTCACTCCGATCCCGTGGGACTGTTCTTATGTAGTCTGACACACCTGAAGGCCATCAGGCCGGGCTTGGCCACTGCCCCTGAGTGTCTTTTACCCCAGCTTGCTAGGAGCTTTCGAGAGTGGGGAAGCTGGGATTCAGCCTCCGAAGGGTCCGGCACCGTGTGTTCGTGGTCAGTGGGTGGCATTCCTCTCTTGGCAAGTGGCCCTGCCGGACTGGGCTTTGTCTCGGCCCCTGCGGTGTTGCTGGGGAAGCCGGAATTCCACAGCTGCTAGGCCGGATGCCAGAAGAGCTTAAGCCCCGGCTAATCTTCCTCTTCGGATTCTTCCAACGGCGTTGTCAACGCACGGGGGGCGTGCTCGGGGCAAGGCTGCCAGGACTGCGTCACGGTTGTGCTAGCTCAGGGGAAGTCAAGCGCACGCATTCCAGATACGTTGGACTACCACCCCCATCATCCCTGGCCAAGCTAGCCGAAGGTCAAGGGCTGCTTTCCTCCAAAACATTTGGGAAAGCACTGTGTCTGGTAGCGCTAAGTGTGCATGATCTTTGTCAGGAAGGGGACAGTTTCTTAACCCCCATGCACTGAAAACTACCTGATATAGAGGCCTTCTCCAACCTGATGCCTTCCAGGTGCATTGGACTACAGCTCCCATGATTCCCCGCACTTTGCATCCACCACTTCCGGTTTGTGGTGGTATAGAAATGCAAATGATAGTGTGAAGCCCAGCTGGGGTGGAGCAAAGTGGTACCATTTCCACAGCTCACCTCCTCAGGTTGGGACACAGATGGGTTCATAAGGAGAGCTTTGGGAAGTGAACGGTAGATAGGGTTCAACAAACTGCTTTGTGTATGCTCAGAGACTCGTGTGAAACAAGATCATTAACAAGGAAACAGTTTGAGTTTGAGGCTGGTGCTTGTCAGACGGAGAAATACGGCTCTTGGCGATTCCCACCTGGGCTTTCCCCTAAGGAGCCCAGGGTGGCGAACACAGTTCTTCTGGATGGACTTCACAGCAACCTTGGCAGGTAGGCCAGGCTGCATATAAGAGAGGCACAGAGTGAATTTCTGGGCTGTCCGTTGGTTGTCAGATAGGCTGCAGTAGCCATCTTGCAAAGAGCTCCTCCGTGTCGCTTCCAAACCCCAAGGTCATCGGCAGAGAAACATAGAAACAGAGCGAGTCAGAAAGGGTCTCCTGGGCCATCTAGTCTGACCTCCGGCACCGACTGAATGGGTGCTGGGTGCTGAATAGATGAGGTGGAAAGGAGAAGGGATTCTGGAGTAAGGGGACCGGCCGGCCCGTTACCCGTGGCCGGCCGCTGCACTGTGCTCTTCCAGTCAACAGCGGAAGACGAGCTTACTCTCCCAAGCCTTGTCATGACGCAGCTTTGTCTGCAAATGTGTTACTGTGTGTGTGGATTTCTTTGGCACTGCAACTGCCTTGTCCTGATCTCACTTTAAGGTAAAACAGATACTCCATGTTTGCTACTGCCACCCAAATCGGAACTCAAGGCGGCTTACAAAAAGGAAGCATCACACTTGGAAACCATCTGCATCGCGAAATCCCAGGGCAACCGTTCATAAGAGAGAAGTTGTCGAAGGAAAGGGCATTAAGCAACAAGCATTAAGCACCAAGCAAGAGAATTTGCCATTAAGCAGCCGAGTGCTAATCGCCTCTCTCAGGCATTTTTATTTGAGATTTTTAATTTTAGATTTAATGGCTACTTTTATGATTTACTCCCAAGGGAATGAAAAGCAAACTCTGAGGGTGTTTTATTCTGTATTTCGAAGAATATATATTGTGGAACAGAAAACTATAAATGTTTGAACATATACATATATTTGATAATATATAGCTTTATTCTTTGAAATACAGACTAAAATATATAGAATAAAATACATAGTTTTGAAAAATAAGTACACACACACACATATTTACCCTGGCACTTCTCTTGTGTTATTTTGAATGTCCTCCCAATTTTTTCACCCACCTTTTACAAGGCATGGTTTTGCCTGTTCCGCTTGTTTCCATGTTTGGTGCACTTTTGGCTTTTTAAATTATTCTTTCGACTTTGTGATCTTCCCAGATAAGTTGTATTATTGGGCATATATATAATGTGGATATACAGTATGTACAGAGCGAAGATCAAACATTTGCTTTTGCAGGTAAGTATTCTGAAAGCCCAAATTTTGTTCCTCCTTTCTCAATGGGGGTAGGGGGCAGGTAAGACCAAAATAGGTAGGGACCCCAACCCAGCGGGTGCTCCTGAGGAATTTACGGAGTTTTGGTGACCTACCTCTTTCTTGCAAGCGATGGTTGTGGTGGTCACAAACTGGAGCATGCTTTAGCTGAAACACTCTTCATCTGAACATTTTTGGCCTCTCTTCGTAGATGCAGCCGGTTGATCTCTTGGGCATCACCATCAAATCCTTGGCAGAAATTGAAAAGGAGGTAAGGGCTTTTGGGAATGTATCTTCACTCCTTGATCCCATCCTCGTCTTCTTTGCACATCCAAGGAAGCGCTCCAAGGGTGCCACATGCGTCCCATGCGGTCTTTTCGGTTGAATATCCTGCAGTTCCAAATATGTGCCAAGAAACAACATTCGACAGCATCTCCAAATGCACACCTTTGCATGTTTTTGTCCCGCATTTGAAAAATAATGATTGCACAGTGTCTGGGAGCAGCAAGACATTAGCGCCTTAGTGATTCCTCTGCATTTTCCCCATCCAAAAGAGAAATGCAGGGTCTGTGCAACTGAAGAATTGGTTGAGGGTCAAGAGACAGGTCTGAGAGGAAAGCACAAGCTGGCCCCGAAGGCTTGCGAGACTCCCTGCACAATCCTGCAGCATCTCAATCTGGCCCAAAACTACCTTTCTTAAAGTTGCTTCACTCCAGAAGAAGCCGAAAGGTCAGGTTTGAATTAGCATCATCAAGCAATTTAATGTCACTTAGTCTCCCAGCGCTAAAAAGGGGAAGCGTTTTCGTTCAGCCGCTTAATTCTGGCATCTTCACAAAATCCCTTTGATGAGGGAGCCATACAGAGAAAGAAGCTTGAAGGGCTTAATTTTATTCTGATGATTGAGGTTGGTTCCGCTCCCCCTTCCCTCGCCTCCCTTGCTTCTCCGCTTTAGCAGCCAAGTCTCCGGTGTGCAGTCACACGTAACGGTCTTTAAACGAACATATTTGCTAACTGGCAGGAATTCAGGGTGTTTTCCATTTTTCCTTAATGTTGATTCCAGCAATTTAGCTGGGAGTTTGGGTTATTCCCCCCCCCCCTTCTCTTTCCCCACCACCTCACCACAATCCCAAATGACTGGAGAAATTCGTCTTGATTATAATTGTTCTTACCCACGCATATCTAATTTGTGTCTTTTTAAGTGTTAATTAGTAAACAGTTTGAGCTGACATCTTTATGCGTTTGTGTGTTTGAAAAATAGCACTTATTTCTTATTTAGCAGCGGGCACATGCCGCTCATCACAGTATCGCGACATTGACGTAAAATTAATGAAGCCGTATCTTTTCTCAAGGCCTCCTTGGAAAAGCTGCTTCTCGGCAGAGCTCTCCCTCTTGCCATTTAATTTTATTTGGGTTTTGTTCTTCTCAAGCAGAGGTGTTCTTCTCTTTGTTCTTCTCAAGCAGAGTGACCATACATCTTCTTCCGCTGATCAAGTTTCTTTTCATTTTGCAATCGTGCCGAACCCGTTTCTCAGTTACCTAAGCTGCCAGCAGCGTAGCACCTGGAAGAGGCACAGTGTCGCATCTTTTCTTCTTTTCGCTGCATCCTAACTTTCCTTACTGTAAACTTTCAAGAATAACCAGGTGTTGATAATGAAGAAGAATTTGAAAAAATAATAAAGCGAGCCAAGGCGGGTCTTTTGCAGTCGCACAGTGCCCTCTGGAGGCAGCGCTGTTGATTGCATCTGGAGGAAAACCACCCCGTTTGCTCGCTTACAAAATGAAGGCTTGCCATCCAAGTGGGGTGGCCAGTTGGTGGCCCCGGGGGTGGAAATGCCCCCTGCTCCCTGATCATTTTATCATCCGGTCCCCCAATAGTTGTACCAGATTGCAGCGCAGGGGTGGTAAACCCTTTTGTGTGTCAGCTGGAAGGAAAAGATGTGGATACGGTGAGAGCTTTCCTGTGTGGAGTTTAATGGTGGCTGGCAGAGACACGAGGCAGGGCTGGTGCTTGCTTCTCTCTTGCCTCTCCCCTCTCTGCGTCTCTCCTTCCCTCTCCGCCCACTGCGCCCTGCAGACTATCCGTTCGGCCCGACTCTGGGCCCCTTTCCACCCCATCCCCATGTCTTTGCTGTCCTGTCTCTTCTGTCCTGTCTTACTCCATCTGTCCCCGCCTCTGGATGCGTCCCTGCAGTGACCTCCCCACAGGCACCGGGTTAGAAGGAACAATAGCCCGGCCACGTGGTTTGACCCACAAAGTCCTTGGCGCTTCTTTTGCTCCTGCTGTCCATAAAGCCACTAAAAGGAAACCCATTTTCCTTCTAAAGAAATTTTGCCTCTCTTTCCTTTCCATCATCCCCCAAAGCTTTAACTGCAGCCAGGGACCTGCCAGAACTACATCTCCCATAAGCCTCAGACAGCATAACCAGTGATTCCAAAGATCCATCCTTCATACCAGCGAGCTAAAGAGGGTCAAATGTAACACCAGGCTTCCTTTTTCATTTTTTAAAGGTAGATTTGGGGTGGGGACTGTAATAACAGACCAGTTCAAAGAACTTTTATGGGTAAATTGGTGAAAAGCAGTATTTGAAGATTAGATGTATTTTATGTTCTGTATGTGAGCCTATTTGCAATCCTTTAGTAAGCAAATCAAAGACCAAGTTCTGCCAGGAAAGGAACAGCCTTGCCTTCCATAAAAGTGGGTCATATCATTCTAACCCTTTTAGAGTTCTTCAAGAAATAAAAAAATGGACCTGGGTATTCCAGCAGGCAATGTTTACTTGGATTCCCCATTAAGTTTTTGGCAAACTGCCTCACCCAAAACTTCCCAGTGAGCTAAGCAGTCCTGGGATAAAAGAAGGGGTCGTATCAGTAATGGGTGAAAGTACAGAAAGCTGAGAACAGGCATAAAGGGTCCGTTCTCACCCCAGAGGGATGGGGACGCTGGAGTTGCAGAAACATCACATCTGTGTTGGGATTGGTGCTTTTTAAATGGTTTGCAAGTGATCCAGAATTCAGACTGAGCTGCAGCACAGTGGCCAAGTTTGCTAATGACCCCAAATGATTTAGAATGCTGACGACGAAAGGAGATTGCAAAGCGCTCCAAACGGATCCGTCCAAACTGGGAGAATGAGCATTAAAATGACAAACACTGCTCAGTGTAACTAATCGTAAAGCGATGCGTCTTGGGGAAAACCGTGTTCACATGGGTGGGATCCAAGCTGCAACAACTGACTGGGAAGAGGATTTTGGGATTGCAACTGTTTGATGAAAATGACTTTCCCATGTGCAGCTGCTTGGGAAAGGCGAATTCCATGTCAGGCATAATCCGGAAAGGCACTGAACATGATACAGCCGAAACCACATCCCTTGGTACAACCGTGTGATGTGATGATGCTTGGACTGCTGTGCACAGGTTTGGTTATTGCACCAACGCAAGAATTTTGCTGGCATAGAAAGGGGCAATTAAAATGGTCCAGGGGCGGAGTGTCTCCCCCTGAGGAAAGGGTACATGGTCTGGCATGGTTTGGCTTCTGGCGGCCTTCCCCAATCCTGTGCCTTCCAGACACGTTTGGACTGCAGCACCCAGAATTCCATGCCAATGGCCCTGCTGGATGAGAATTCTGGGGGTTGTGGTCCAAGTGCCTCTGAGGTCCCCCAGCTTGGGGAAGGCTGGGGAGGGGGGGGGAGTGAGTCAAGGGATGCCATGTTAGGGGTCTTCAGAATTATGCCTGATGTGGAGAAAGCAGAGATGGAGACGGAATGGCGGGAAAGTCAGGTCAGATCCAAGGAAGTCCTGTTTACATATGTATTATTAATTTCTATCCCGCCCATTAATCAGGAGGACTCTCTTTTTATTTTTTATTTTTTTTTTATTTTTTTAAAACTTTTTTAGACCACTCCTTACCATGGTCCTGGACAGTTTAACAATAAGACAAAATAGAATAAAACACAGGGTCCTAGTCAAAATCTTAACCAATCAACAATAACACCCATATTAAAACAGTCAAATCTTAAAACATTGGCAAAATAAAAAGGGTTTTCACACAGTGCTTAGTTCAACTTTGGGGTTCACTTCTACAAGGTGCCGTGATGGCCACCAATGTGAGGGAGGGCTTTGAAAGGGGATTGGACCCATTCATGAAGAAGAAGGCGATCCATGCTTCTAGTCCTGATGGTGCCAGGGAGTGAACAGAACATGGGGTGATAGAGAGGCTTTGGGACTGATTATGCCTGGATCGTATTTTTGGGTGGGCAGGGACCATGGGAGCTGTAGTCCAAAGCAGCGGGAGGGCATCAAGTTCCCTACCCCTACTGTCGGGTGGCTTAGGTGGTCCTCCTCTGCCTTGGCGTTTCACCCTTGCAACACCCCTGCAAGGTAGGTGAGGCTGAGCAGCAAGGACAGGCCCAAACCACCCCCTGAGCATCATGGCCGAGTGGGGGCTGGACCCCTGAGCTCCCCTTCTCCAGTCCGTCGCCTCTTGTCTCCCATGCGGTCCTCCCCCTCTTGTGCTTCTTGGGCCATGGCTGGTCCAAAACGGTTTTCAGATCCCAGCGGCGTTCGGGAGACCAAGATACACTGCCCTGGAAGCCCGTGGCAGAGGAGAGTTTCGGAGCAAAGACTCTGATCGGACTCTGATTGTTCCAGGAGTGTAAGATGCCGCAGCCCGAGGGGGTACCGTCCAGGGCTTCGGTCCACCCCGATGCTTCCCTTTGGCCGAAGCAGGTGCCCAAATGCCCTGTGCTCAAGAGAGGGACAGCCTGTGCGGTGGGCAGCTGCCTTTTCGATCCTTCCTTCCTTGCAGCCACGCTTGCCGAGTGCCTGGCCCACCTGGTGCTTTACAGAGCGGTGAAGAATGGAGGAGATGGTTCCCTGCCCCAAGGCGTCTGCAGTTGAAAGGGAAGATGATCTCTGTCTGCACAGTCTGTATTGCTGCTGAGCGAGGGGCGTTGGCGAATGGCAGCTGCTCCCTCCCTCCCTCCTCCCATATATTTAAATAAAATTTCGTATTGATCAAAGCAATTTATCTGCTCAGAACTAAGCAAAAAGAAAGTGTTAACCAAGGGTAAATGGGTGGTGGAGAAGAGAAGGGAGGAGCGATGTGGTTTATTTATTTGAGTTCTAAACTACCCAATAGCCAAAGCACTTTGGGTGGTTTATAGAAATTCCCAAATGGACTATGCTCCAATTAAAAAAAATTAAACTTTTCCATAGCACAGAATTAAAAAACCAAACAAACAGTTTTTCAGTGGTTAGCAGCTCAAAGAGTAATTAGCATGGAACAGACCTGTTTAAAACACGGATGCTTCAGCAAGGGGTGAATAATCTTAGGCATCCTTAGCTGTCTTAACCTGGCACTGAAAGGGTGAGAGAGTTGGCGTCAGGTGGGCCTCCGTGGGGAAGTAGTTCCGCAGTGGAGGGGCTTCCACTGAAAAGCCCCCCCCCCCTTATTTGCTGTCTGCTGAGCTGCTCTTGGATGTGGTGCTCTGGGGAGATTCCCCTTCCAGAATTTGATTGCAGAGAAAAAATGAACGGTGTTCACAGCTTTGTGTCTCAAAGGAAGCACTTTTGGGTGGCGGTGCAAAGTGAGGCAGAGAAGATTGTGAGTGCGGGGGGGGTGCAGAAAGAGGGGTGAAGGGGTGGCAGAGAGGAGAGATCAGGGGATTGGCATGGAAATAAAGGGGGCAGGAAGTTTGCCTGGCATGGGATATTTTGTGGGGTGGGGCACACTTCCGCGATGGGGCTTTGTGCTTTGCATGGCATGCGGAAAACCCCAAATTTTACCTCTGGCATCTCCAGGAAGGTATGAGAAGGCCCCCATCCAGTGCCCCCGGGAGCCATTGCTGCTGCCAGACTGTGTGGAGAGCACTGAGCTGAATGATTCTCTAGGCTGACTCCATGGCAGGGGGCCCCCTGTGTTCCAATTCTGCCAGAACCATGAGGACTGGAATCTTCATTTTAAGGAAGGGCATAGCTCAGTGGTGCAGCCCTTGCTTTGTATCAAGAAGACTATCAGTAGCTCCTTGCTTGGATGTCTGCCTTCAGTAGCTGACGAATTATGCCTACGTACACCAGCTGCTGGGGAACATGTGCAGGAGACTGCTGTGGCACTCATGCCCTGCTCCTGGGTTTCCCATAGTCACATATTCGCTCTGTGAATATAACGTTGAACGAAACAGCACTTGCATCTGACCAAGCAGAACTCAATTCTTACGTTCCGAGGAGCAGACTGGCCTTCCCCAGCCTCCCAGATCCCGGAATGGCCAGCCAGCCCGGTCCCGGAAGGTGCCGGGTTAGGGAAGGGCGGGCCAGCCTGGATGGACTAAGAGCCCTCCTTGGTTGCCTTGGCATCCCCCAGGCATGGCAGCCATCGCTTGCTGAATGGCTACCAGGTTTCACCGGGCGGGTTTCCAAATCCATGCCAGGCTGCTGCCAGGCCCCCGAACCTAGCCGGTGAGGCTTTTTGGCTCCCTAAGGTATCTGGGTGGGCTGTTTCTTTGCATCTGCCTTTGGACAGCAGGACTGAGCCTCCAACCTGTTCTTCAGAGCAGGGCTAGGGCAAGAAAAGCGATTTCCGTCCTCTTCAAGACAGTCTCGGTTCTCCTGTATCTGGACCTGGCTAAGCCATAAGCAGGAGCTTTCCTGTCTGGCGAGGAGGCTGGCCTACCTTGCAGGGGTACACTTAGCATTGCTGAGAGAGCGTTGAACCTTCAGGGTCCTTGGTCTCAACCCAGACCGCCTGTCCATTGGAAGCTTTATGGAAGCAGTCTTGGAGACGTGCTTGCAAATTTTAAAAAAAGCACTGTGGCGATTGTGCCACACGGTGGCAGTGTTGCCATATGTTTCTGGCCCCAGTTGGCTGGCTTTGGACTTGAGCTTTAATCAGTGGTCTCTGTTTAAGGCCACTCTCCCATTTTATCCGGGCCTCCTGGAGCGGCCCTGGACCTTGAGGGCTTCCAAGGGGACCAGGTGGGTTCAGACCTGGAATTCTGCATCCTGCCCCTCCACCTGGAAGAATCCTATGTTAAAGGGAAGGGGGGGAAGTGAACTGTTCCGTCACTGTAAGTGATATTTATAAACTTAACCCAGATTTCTGCCCTTGAGAGGAGAATGCTTAGCTTTCTTCCACAAAGGATTCAGCTTTGGGATGGGAGGAGAGAAGCTGAGCTGGGGGGCAGGTCAGGATGGGCCCAGTTGTGACTCTCCAGATTATTGGCATACAACTCCCATCTGCCCCAACCAGCCCAACCAATGGCAAGGGATGTTGGAAGTTCCAGGCCAAAACTTCTAGAGGGCCACAATTCATAGGAAAGGGGCAGAAATTAATTGATTTGACCTTGTAATATAAGCTTACCTACGTTTTGGATTTTCAAGCCACAGATGTCTTTTGAAACTCTCACTTCAACCTGCCTAGAAGTGAATGGGTTTCAGTGAAATCAGACAGATACGCTGTCTTTGGAGATGCATGACTTTGAGAATCAAGCCTGAACATACCTGCATAGCCCTGCCCTTCATTTGCATAGCAGGGGCCCCAGTTCCATGCCTTGCTTACAATGAGGTGAAAATGAAGCTTCGGCCGTGAAGTCCATCTGTCTGTACTTATCTCTCTGTCTCTCTATTATGACGAATGCGGACATAGACAAGAAGCTGTGAAGAGCAGCTTCCTGCTTTCCCCTAAGGTGCTCTTTGGACATTCTCTGTGAATCTATTTCAAGTTCTTTTTTTTTCTTTTCAATGGCCACACTAATTATATTGATAGTAGTTTGCAGTACATCTAAAGACACACATCTTGTAGATTCCTGCAAAATCATTCTTGTCTTGGTGTGTGTGTTTTGTGAGTGTTTCCTTTTTCAGTTATGGTTTTGAAGATGTGCAGTGCAGCCAAAATAAAGGCCCAAAATGCATCATCGTAAGACTGCTAGAGAAACAAAGAAACCCACTTGTGCTCGTTTACAGGCCGTGACCAAGAGTGGAAGAGCCTTCCCCAACTTGGTGCCTTCCAGACACATTGAGACTGCAACACCCAGAATCCCCAGTCCATGACCCCACCGAATGGGAATTCTGGGAGCTCTGGCCCAAGCGCCCCCGAAGGCCACCAGGTTGGGGAGGACTGAGCTAGAGGGAAATGGCCGAAGCAGAGGCACGGGATGCGCTGGAAGAATGCGAGTTGCGTTCCAGCCGTAACGGCATCTTTTTCTCTTTCTCTTGCAGTACGATTACAGCTTCAGGACGGAGCACAGTGCCGCGGCCAGACTGCCTCCAAGCCCCACTCGGAGTCAGCAGCTACCCCCATCCTGAAGCCCCCGGCTTTTGCAGACCACACACGTGTACTACTGAGAGGGGAGCCCTTTCCCCTCCCCAACACGTAACTTTCTCCCTACCTCCCCTTGCCCCGAGAAGCAGTGTTACTTGAACCCTTACCAGCAACAGTGACAATGGTCTCTCTTCCACTGTCTCTAACGAATCGCCACTTTTCGTACAGTGTAACTGGATAGAATCACTTTCTCTTTTTTATGTGTGTTGTTTTGGAGAGTTTGGACTTTGTTCCCCCTTTTGACAAGAGCCCAAACTCCTCTGGGGTTACGCCACGCTCGATCAAGTTCACACGGACCAGGATGGAAGCGTTTGTCCCTCACCTTTTAAATTTTTTCATTTCTTAACAGCCAGGTTTGCCAACAGTCTCTAAAATCCGATGAAGGTGGCTTCATTGCAACATGTTGCCCTTCTAAGATGGACCGTGGCGTTCGACACGGATTCAACGTGCAACCGTTTGGCTTGGAAATGAGGTCAAAATGCCAACCCATGTCTTAGACCCTGTGTGGGTAAATGCATCTCCAAGTAACCATAGATCATCTTCCCTATACTTGTACTCTTGGGG